CTGCTTCCCTCTGCAGTCACAAGGCAGAAGGGCTCGCTTGGCTCGCAGCCTCCTCTGCCTCCCCCAAAGGCAGGATCTGTCCCAGTCCTTCCCCTGCCCACGCTCCCGCTGCAGGCTGGGCCCTACCCCACTTGGCATCACCCCAAACACACCTCGGGGCCAGCATCCCCACCACGGCTCCGCATCCCCAGAGCTGGCTCCGGCTTTGCACAACCCCCCAGGTTTTTATTTTAAGCAAAAGCCTCGCCAAGCAGCCTCCTCCCTGCTCTTTAGGAAAATCCCGCTGCCTGCAGGTAGCGCGGCGAAAAGGAAGCGGGGAGGAACCTTTTAATTTGTTTTCCCACTCCAACATCCAAACAGGCTCTCGCAGCCTTTGCCAAGAGGTCTCCGCGTTTGGCAAACGCTCTGCAATTCAAGGACACGTTTTGGAAAGGGCTCTTCCTCGATCCCGGGGAAGGGAGGGGAAACACCCACGTGCACAACAGGGAACGGAGCCGAGGTGGTGCAAGAAGGCGAGGGGGGGTCGCTGGAGCAGGATTTCTCAGGGGTGATGTTATTTTATGTTTTAGTATTCAACATTTTGCATCCAGCTGCAAAAAAATAACAAATTCGTGTTTGGAGGCTTTTGATGAGCCCCAGCTGGTTGGATCATACCTGGTCAGGAGGCTTCGGCTGGATCCGTGCAAGGGCAGCCAGAGAGGGGGCAGCAGCTCCAAACCCCCCCCTCAGGCAGCCGAATTCAGGCTAGGAGCTTAGGAGACCTTTCCTCAGGACAGTGCCAGAGCCCGGAGCACCAGCACCCCTTGCACATAAAATAGCAGAGCTGCTTTACGGACAGGAATGGCAGCAGCTTCCCAGGGGAAATCTCACCTTGCACGCACACCGAGGAACCTGCCCTCCTCCCTCACTTCACCACTGGGCTCCTGAGCTCAAAATGATGCGGAATAACTAGCTACCAGCCTGGAAACGTGCTTTGCTACCTCCTAACAAAAGGCTTGGTGAGGGGGGAAAGGCATCTTAACCACCCTCCTTTTATTTCTGGGTGCTAACAGCCCCCACCTGCTCCCCGTGCGCCCACCGGCTGCAGGCAGCAGCCCCCGGGGAGGAGGCAGGGAACCCAACCGTGTCTCGGAAAAGCTCGGCTGAAATCTCACTGCTGTGGCCAAATAACCTTGGGGTGCTGGGCTGCAAAATAAAAGTAAGGATGGCAGGCTCCTGCCCAGAGCATCTGGAAGGGGAAAGGGTGGCACAGGGGGGGATGCGCAGCATCGTAGGCTGTGTCTGCCTCTTAATCAACACCCAAATTCATCGTGGGCTGTGCACGCCTCTTAATCAACACCTGAATTCATTTCTCTGCCTCCCCCAGCAGCTGTCAGGCGGTTGAAGGCTGGGGTTCCCACTCTCGCTACGCTCCCTTGCTTCTTTCAAGTCTGTGCACAAGCCGCTCTCTGACCTCGCGCTTTTTGCTGTCTCTCCTGGAGCCTCTTCCCTCGCGGTGTGTTTTCTATTTTTATTATTATTTTTTTTTTCCTTTGGCCCTCACGTTCTTGACAGTGCTGCTTTCCGTGCAGCAGCTCTGCTTGTGCAAGAGCAGCTGGGTGGCTGGCAGGGGCAGCAGACCCCATCCCCGTTACCCCTGGGTGCCCACAGCCCCCCGGGCGTTACTGGAGGAAGGTGCCCAGCAGCACCCTGCCACGGGTACCTGCAAAGCCCTCCCTTACCTGCTGCCACCCGCAGCCAGCTTCTCCTCCCATCACATCTCAGGACACTGCGCCCTTGCTGCTTAAAAATATCCCCCCCATCACCACCCCCAGCCTTTTTTTTTTTTTTTTATTTTCCCCATTTCCTTCTATCTTCGTTCTGCTGAGGTTGATAGCGCCTGGTTAAAAATGCTTCCAGAAAAAAAAAAAAAAAAAGAAAAAAAGAAAAAAAAAAAAGCTCCGTTCATAGAAAGCTGCCTTGGGAAGCGGGAGGTGCTTTTTAGGAGCCTCTCCCCCTCTCCTTTCTGATTTTTTGCTGCCCCCCCTTCCCAGCCCCAAGGCCGAGCCCAGCTGCCAGCTCAGGTCCCACTAGAGGGCAACAGAAACCCAGGAAAGGAGCCGGGCTGAGCAGCAGCAGAGGGGAGGAAGGGCCTTGCGGCACGGCCAAGGCTTCCTTAATTCAGCTTTCAGCCAAATCACGCCTAAAAATCGCAGCTGCTCCCCCCCACACCCCCCCCAGCCGGGATGCGCAAGGGCACCGCAAGAGGCTGCGTCCTATGGGGCGTCCTCCTTCTCCCCCCAAAATCTGCCCCTGCTCCCAGCCATCGCAGGAGCATCTTTCCCCAAATGTCAGCCCCCCCCTGCACGCAGGAAAAGAAGTTTCCCCAAGCCCAGGAAACACGCAGGAGATGCTTGATTTTTGGAAATACGTGCGAGCCGAGGGGGTGCTTTTACAGCAGTCTCTGGAGCCCCGGCTGGGGTGGCCAAAGCCTCGTGCTCGGTGCTGCCCGAAGGAAGGAGGCTGGAGGAGCCCCAAAACAGCCCCGACAATGAAGAAGGAGTAATTTTGATCGCTTTGGATCTTCTTTTTTCCAGCAGACCCCACTCTGGCAGCACCAGCTGGAACTGCAGCTTTGGAGCTGCCCAGCCAAGCCAAAGGCAACAAAAATAAAAAATAACTGGCACCAATTAACCTCATCACCAATTAACCCCATCCTTATCAGCCACCTGCAAGAGGCCAGGATGCCCCTTCCAACCCCTCCTGCGACCCTCCTGGGGGAAAAAGCAACAGGGAAAGGAGTTTCCTTTACCAGTGCTAAAAGCAGCACCCGGCCTTTCCATTCCCTCCTCCCACCGGGAATATTTTCCCCGGGCTTTCCAAGGAAACCCGGCCCCAAATGCTGGCCCAGGGCTTCCCCAGATGGGTTCGTTTCCACTGAGGAGGTCCCAGTTCTGCACGGGAGGTGCAGGAGCCCACTTCTACTGCACGAGCCCATCGGATGGGCCCTGTCCCCTGGCTGGAGCGGGGGACACGTCCCCACCACCACCCCGGAGAGGTGGCAGCGCCAGCGCCGTGCTCACCACGCAGGGGCTGTTTAAGCAGCTCCGGAGGGAGCCATCGTGGCACCAGACGAGCTGGAGCAGCTCCTAAATCAGCCCTTCTTTATGCCGCTCCAGTTCCCAGCTCCCTCTGAACACCAGAAAACCCAGAAAGTCGCATTAAATCACTTTTATCCTCGCTTTTATCCCCTGTTCTTCCTCCTCGTCCTGAGCCGTGCTGCCATCAGCCTGGCCTCGCAGCCAAATCGGAGCTGCCCAGATGCTCCCCCAAAAACCCTCACCCCCCCCAAAGCTGTGCCATGAACAGGTGGGACACATCCAGCACCACGGGGGGGGGACGTGGACCATGCGGTGCTGGTGACTCCAGGCAGGCTGGGCAGGAGCTGCAATGCTTGGGGTGATTTAAAGCAGGTGGTGGCTCAGGCATTTGGAAGTTTTGTGAAGATCTTTTCCCCAAATCACTGTAGTTAGAGCCGTGCAGCCTATTAAAGGTGGCCAGCACGCCGCCGGGGCCAGGACAGCGTTAGTGCTCCCGTATATCCTCCACTGCCGTGTTCCTTCTGGTTTTAGGAGGCCCCAGGGTCCTTCCAGCACCGCTCCTGGATGAATATTTTGCAGCTCAACAGCCCTGGGAGCTTTGGGGTGGGATTCGCCACCCGGTTGCTCCCTTTGGCACAGGTTGGATGGGGAACTGGGTTTGTCTGGCTCCTGTCCTTCCGTGAGCATTGAGGCTGGGTCTTGTCATCCATGCCCCAAAATGCCACCTCTCCACGGGAGCGAGTGCCATCGAAACAAATCCATCTCATACCATAATCCCAGCCCGCTTCTGGTGCCCAAACGATGCAGGGAGCAGGCAGCAACCACCACGCAGCCTCATCGCCCACCTTCCTCCCTCCGTCCCCACCCCAAAACTGCGAGAGAAGCCCCCCCTGTCCAGGTCCCAGCATCGCGAGCACAGTGGAAAGCTGGAGCGGTTTGCTGTGCAGATGGGCGTGCTAGCAGGGCACTCGGTGACAGCATCCTGCCAGCCAAAACGTGCTCTTTTCCCCGTAGTTTGTTCATTTTTAGCAGCGCTGCGGGATCTGGCTTCCCAAAGGGGCTCAGGAAAAAGGGGGAAACGTGGCAAGGATGCGGGAAGGAAGGTACCGGGCTGCACAGGAGAGGAATCCCGGGGTTTTTATTGCCCGGGGTTTGAGAAAATCCTGGGCGTAATTCAAGTCCTGTCCCTGGCAAGTTACTCCTGTGCTGCAACTTCTCCCGCTGAAAGATGGGAAAAGGACAACTGTTCCCTTCCGTGAAACAAACCCAAACGAGCAAGGCTCTGTCGGTCTGGTACAGCAAAGCCAGCCGCTGAGTTCTGTTTCCTTTTTAAGCGCCATGCAGCCTGCCGTGCCTTTACTGCTGGAATAAAGAAGGCATCAACCCGCCTGGCTTGGTCGGGGGGAACAGGATCTGCGTTTTCTTGTTCCTTTTTTTAATTTCCCAAGTCTAAGGAGCGGTGCCCGGCACTGCCACGATTCGTCACCTCCCCGGTGCCGTGCAGAAGGGAACAGCACCGTTTAGAGAAACAAAGTCACAACTAAACTGGAAATAAACTTCCCAGCCAGCCCGTGCCTTGCAGAGGTGCGAGACCCTTGGGGGAGGAAGGAAATGTTCCGCAGCCCTTTAGAAGGGGCCAGATCAAAAGGTCCCCGAAATATTTAATTCTCTCTTTTTCATGGTTTTAAGGACGGGGAGAGAAAGCAGAGTGCGCAGCCACGTGGCGGGGGGAGGAAGCACCGCTGCAGCAGCCCAGTATTTCTGAACCCAAAATGACCCCTCCCCAATAAATTGAGGTCCCACGACTCGGCCAACACCTCCAAAAGGGCACAACATGAGGGAGAGCCTCCCTGCGCCCTGTCCTCCCATGGAGAAGGAGCCTTTTGCTTTTTCCTGATGCCCAGGATGGGGAAGAGCCGTGCCTGGAGGCAGAGCATCCTCCACAATCCCCTCATCCCCTTGGTGCCAGACCAAGCTCCCCAAGGACAGGCTGGGGTACCCCTGGCCGTTTCCCACCCCGATGCGCTCCCTTCGCTCCGCTTGCCCCCCACCAGCCCAGGATGCTCCTTTGGGGTCCCATGGGAGACTCCTTCACACGACGCCTGCCCGACCTCATCCTCGGGCACCCCGCACACCCCATAGTGCCCTTTGGGATCCCCCAATTCTCTCCTTGGGGGGGCTGCTCTGGGGGTTGGCTGCCTTGCAGGCACCAAAGGGTTACGCTCGGAGGTGCCGCTCTGCGCTCCAGGCACCTGGAGGGGAGGGAGGGAGGGATGGAGAGGAGTTTTCGTCGAGGCTCCAAGAAGGCAGCGAGGAGCGAGCAGGAGCGGGCAGGAGCGCGGCGGCAGCAGGTGAAGCCACGGGGGGAGCCGCCACCGCCACCCGGTCCCGTTCGGCTGCCACCATGGGTCGGGGGGGGGCCCTAGGAAGCGGCTTATAAAAGGGGGGACACCCCCCCCTTCCCCTTCCCCTGGCTGACGTCCCCCTCGCTCAAAGAGAAGGGAGGGAAAAAGGGAAAAAAAAAAAAAAAAAAGCAAAACCCACCCAAAGCCGCTCTAAAATTGAGGGAAGAGCGAAGGCGGGCGGCATCGGCTGGAAAATGCATCTCCCTCGGAGCTGCATCGTCCTCCTCATCCAGGGGAGCATCGCGCTGCTGGTGAGCGGCTGGGGGAAGGGGAGAGGGAAAAGGGGGGGCTGCAGGGGACGGGGAGGGGGTGTCGGGCAGCCAAAGGGACCGGGCAGCCTTAGAGCAGGGATCATTTCCCAAATCGTTTTATCCTCTTCCCCCCCACCACCACCACCCCAATTCCCCCACTCCCCCGAAAAAAAGCATCCCAAAACTTCTGCTGTTTTGCAGCGGGTGGGCAGAGGGCAGGGTGGGCTCACGGATGGGGCTGGAGATGGAAGCGTCGTGTCCCCACCCCGATCACCCCAAAAAGCTGTAGCCTCCCCCCCCCCCCGTCCCCGGGCACCGCAGCCTTGGCACAGCTGCTGGGGGCAGCCCCTGGGCACCCCCGGGCTGGGGGACACCGGCACAGGCTGCCACCCACGAGGCCACCCTCGGCTTCCTCGCACCCCGGGGATGGCAGCGAGCATCTGCCCGGCTGCTCAGCACCCCCAGCTCCTCACCGAGCCCTTGCTGGGATCCCAAAACCCCTGGTGCTTCCCCCCAGCACGAGCGGGCTGCAGCATCTGCCTCCTGCCAGGAGGGATGTGGTGCTGGGCGCCCACCCAGCCCACTGGGTGCCAACTGGGTGCCCACTGGGTGCCCGCTCTGCCAGCACCCCCAGGATGCCAGCAGGGCAGCCCCTACCCCTGCCCATGCTTTTTTTTGGGGGGGGCCGTGGCTGGTACCAAACAGAGCCCCCAAGCCAGCAGGGAAGGGAGGAGAGAGGAGTTTTGGGGGAGCCCGTGCGTGGCCGGTCGGGCGCTGGCATCTCCCCGGGATGGGGAACTCACCTCTGCTGCTCCTGGCCGCAGCAAGGTTTGGAGGTCAGGAGAGGGGTCCACGGGAGGTGCTGGCAGCAGCAGAACTGGTGTAAAAGCCACCAGGGCACCTTCGCCATGGGTGTACCTGGGCGCCCTCCCCCATAGCACCCCGTCTCCCCAGCAGCGAGCCCCCCGGGTGCCAAGGAAGGTGTCCCCACGGGGCTGTGAAATTCACCTGCCCCAGCGCCTCTCACCCCAAAGGGGGGAAAAAAAGGAAGGGAAAAAATGCTGCCAGAAGGGCAACGGGGGTTATGGAGAGAAGCAGAATGGGAAGACGGGAGAAAAGGGAAATAAGGAGGGTATGGATAAGGAAAGAGGATGGCCTGGAGACACGGGGTGAGCAGGGAACGAGGCTGGGCCAGGGGCAGGCACCCACCGCCCGGCTTTCACTCTCCACCATTGCTGCCTCCAGGTGACCTGCGGCCAAGAAGAGCCAGGGGAAGGTGCAGAGCAGCACGAGCCCGAGCCCCAGGAGAGAGCCCGAGCGCAGAAGGCGAGGGGGCTGCTCTCCCCAGAGACCCTCCTGGCTCCAGCCGTGCTGCAGAACGTGACCCTGCTGGAGCTGGTGAGCAGCTCGCGGGAGCTGTGGGATATCCTGGATAACCTCTCGGAGCGGGACCATGCTCCGCATCCCAGAGACCGGAGGGATTTGGGGCCAGCCTCGGGCAAACTGAAAAAAATTTTCGGCTGGGGAGATTTCTATTCCAACATCAAGACGGTGAAGCTGAACCTGTTGATCACCGGGAAGGTGGTGGATCACGGCAACGGCACGGTCAACGTCTTCTTCCGCCACAACTCAACGGGGCAGGGGAACATCTCGGTCAGCCTCGTCCCCCCCACCAAGGCGGTGGAGTTCGACCTGGAGCAACAGATCTTCATCGAGGCCAAAGAATCCAAAATCTTCAACTGCCGCGTGGAGTACGAGAAGGTGGACCGGGCCAAGAAGACCACGCTCTGCACCTACGACCCCTCCAAGACCTGCTCCCACGAGCACACCCAAAGCCACGTCTCCTGGGTCTGCTCCAAGCCCTTCAAAGTCATCTGCATCTACATCACCTTCTACAGCATAGACTACCGGCTGGTGCAGAAGGTGTGCCCTGATTACAACTACCACAGCGACGTGCCCTACTACCCCTCGGGATGAGGAGCTCTGCCCAGCTCAGGATCCCCCCGGTGATGAGGGGGCGCTGGGGGGGGCGGGGGGAGGGCTGGGGATGGTTTTTAAGCGGGGTGGGAGCGCAGCGGTCCCTAAAAAAAAAAAAAAAAGCAGAAGCGAGGAAGGAAGAGGAGGGATTTCGGTTTTACCCCAAAAGCTCCAACGTCAAGAGGAGGAGCCGTAGGCGATGGGGTAACGGCGTTGCTAAAGCTGGCGTGGATCCGTGGTCTTTGGAGACGGGGTCTGAAACTGGGATAAAACAAAAAAATAGGACATAAACCACAATCAGGACTTGCGTTTTCTCAGTGCAATAATGGATTTGCCTGGATCTAGGCCGCGTGGTCCTGAAAGGTCGGCGGCCAGGGAAAGGTCGCCTCTGGGAACGGGCTTGTAGGGCCTGGAGCCGGGAGAAGACCCCAGCAGGGACAAGGGCACCCGACACACACTGGGGGCTGGAAGCCAACCGTGGGCAGCCCCCTCATTTGGGTGCCAGGAGGAACCAGAGCTGGGTTTTCCCCACACGTGGGACAGCCCTCGGGGTGCAAAAGGCTGCGGGGACGACAGCGGGGCAGGGGGGTCCCTGGTGGGACCCTGGTTCCTGGGTGCCACCCCACCACAGCTCCTGGCTTTCGGGGACCGGGCCCCGCTGGCTCCACCGGCTCGAGAAATCCTGGTCGGATCTGTCAAATCTGCTGACACAATATATGATTCATGTGTTTCCCCTGACACCGTGTGATTCATGCGTTTCCCCTTCATCTCACCCGTGCTTCCCAGCGCGCCGCCCGGCTCCCCCAGCGCCCGCTCCCCCCCCTCGCCTGCGGGGTCTGCAGCGCCCGGGTGGCCAGGAGCGAGCCCGCACGCGGGCACTCGAGCCCTGGCTGTAGCATTTCATTTATTTTGAAGGAGGAAAAAAAATAATAATAATGATAGCATTGTCCTTGGGAAAAGAATAAAGTTTTTACGGTGGCACTAAGGCAGGTCAAGTGTTTTTCCTGCGAGCTAGCTCAGCCTCGCTGCGGGGTAGGAGGAGGAAAACAAGAGGGGACAGGAGGGAACGAGGCACAGGGCAGGGCTGTGACCTGGCTTGGCTTCTCCCCGTGCCTGCACTCAGCTCTGCTCAGATTTATCTGGACTCCTTCTCCCCAAAAATGAGCGGTGGGGGGCTGCTGGGACACAGCCCCCTGCCTCTGCCACTTCCAGCAGCACGCTTGATTGTTATTGCTGGGGCTAGGACCAGGTCTGTGCCCCCACTGGGTGTTCCCAACCTTCCCTGGGCATCCAAACGCCCAGCTCCTGCTTTGCCTGGGGGCACATTGGCTCCTACAAAAGGTGGAGAAAAAAAAAAAAGCAGCTTCCCCCTCCCTACCGTGCCTTTTGCCCCCAGATTCTCCCTATCCAGCGCACCAGGCCAGCTTAAGGCAACAAATCCCCTTAATCCAACAAAACCCCAGCCCGTTTATTAGCTGGCTATTACCTCCAGGGCAGGTTTTATGCCTCAGCCTTGACAAGTCCAATTCCTTCCCTCGCTACAGACCGCGGCCAGGTTTGCTGGGTGCTGGTGCGCAGCCGCCAAGTTTCCTTGCGTGCACTTTTATAGAGCCAAGGCAGAAGCCAGGTCCAAAATACATCGAGCAAAGAAAGCCTTTTAGTGCAATAATCAATGAGATGACTTTTACCGGGAGAAAAAAAAAAAAAGTTTCAAACGCTCGGAGAGCACATTTTCAGGGAATAACAGGACCGGTTTGTGGTGGTGGTAGGAGGGAGCCATCGCTCAACCCCACGTCCCCGAGCGAGGTTTCGTGCTCGCTGCAAGGAAGGGACACAAAAAGCAAGGAAGGGACACAAAAAGCCCGGTTCAAGCCCTTGCTGCCCGCACAGACAAAACAAACAAAACCACCCCACACAAAAGTTGCTCATTTGGAGAAATTTCAGACAATTGCCATTTGAAGAAACAGAGCAGGCAGCCGGGAAGAGAAGGAAACCAGGCTACAAAGGATGCACCATTGTCAAAAGTGATGTGGCAGCCGCAGTTACTAGGAGACCAGGACGGGCCATTATTCGGGCTTGGGAGAAGAGGATTCCTGCTAGCAAAGTCACAACCTCGAGAAAAGAAGGATTTGGCTGAGCTGGAGGGCAAACAATAGAAGGGAAAAATCCCCGCACCCCAAATCCCCACGGCCCCAGTGCCCCCATGCTCAGGGTGCCCGGCGGAGCCTCTGCGCCAGCTCCTTTGGGGAAATTTCCCTCATTAGAGGCCGGCTCGGGGTTTGGTGGGGTGCATTGGGTCACAGCTCCCCATCCCCGGCTTTGTGGGGCCCTGCTCCCCCCGCCAGCTTGGCCACGGAGCCGCTTCTGCTTCTCGAGCGGAGGAGTTAAAGCCCTGCCGCTGCCTCTGCTGCAACGTTACGCAAGGAGCCGAGGCTTAATTTCTTTCCCCATTAGCAGATGAAGATGAAACAGGTTTGGGGGAAGAAGAGCGGAGATTTGTCCAAATGAAGTTCCGCGAGCTGCAAACTTCACTACAAACGAGGCGGCGTGTAATGACGGTGGGAAGCAGACTTCAAAAATCCTCCGTGACACCAGAGTTCAGCAAAGTGCCGCCGAAGTGTTCGCAGGCAGCTTGGCAATTAGAGCCTATCTCCATTTATAAAATGCAGCTCCTTATCGCCTCTGATAACTCGGCGGACGGCTGAGCTCTTTGTCTCCAAAGCAGGAAAAGCCCTGACGGGGACTACTCGCCGCTGTCATCTCCAGCGACGCGGTGACCGCTCTCCATCTCCAGTAATTAGCTCGCTTTTCTTCGTTAATACGGTTTTCCTCTTCCCCACCAAATCCTCCTCATTTCAATTTCATCGCTCTCCCAGCCCAGCTTAACCCGGGCTGCTGCACATTTCCAACCGGGCTGCCCAAAAGAGCCCGCTCCTCCCTCCCACCAAAGGCAATCAGCGGCCCCTGGCCGTTAATTGCACTCATTAGGGCTTCCTGGTGGGGATCGTTTGTGGCTCAGCACCAGGATGAGACGGGGCAGGGCGAAACCGGGGGCTGCTGTGATGCTGCAGGGACACGAGCACCCAAGCATCCCGGTCCTGGGCACCCTCTGAGCACCCAAGGGTGCTCCCAGGGGGTGGCTCCTTTCAGTTTTGGCCTCCCCCAGCTTTCAGGGGCTGCCACCATCTTCCTCAAACGCTTCCCATTTGGGTAATTCTCCTGCGAGGGCCGTTTGCCACAATTGTGCTCGCAGTCCAAGCGCTCCTTTGTTAATTTCGCCCTGGATCTTGAAAAATAATTAGCAGTAATCAACCTCAAATCCATCTCTTCACGGGTTTTGAGTCCTCTTCGCCTTTTGTAATCTGCCAGTCAATCAGACTTTGTCTCTCTGCCGTTTCCTATTTACCATATCCAAAAACCAGCGGTGGCCTCTGATTCAAATTAGACTCTCGTTGCCAGCTATCACCTTCAAAATGTGCTAATGCATTACTCCAGGATTTCAGAAAAGGACAAATCTCGCAGGAAGGCACAATTTAATGCAAGGATGGCCCAACCAGATCCCTCTCACCGCTACGACGCCTTCAAGGCATCAATTTTCTCAACTCAGGGTCAGCCAGGTTTTTTTCCAATAATAAACCTTTTTAAGCACAACCCAGCCAGATGCCGAGATCTCAACCAAGAAGAAGTTTGTTAATTTGTACGGAGGCTTTTCATGGACAAGCCACAAAAGGTTATTGCCAGAAGAATCTTGCCTTAACGTGAGAACTCCCTTCCAGGCACGACAATCACGGAGTTGCCAGCCTTTGGGATTTTCACCAAGATTTGGAGGATTTCCCTCAGCAGGAGCTGAGCCACTCGGATACTTTGAGAACTTCAGCTTCCAGAGGGAAAGAAATGGCTTATAACAAAAACTTAGGGAAAAAAAAATTAAAAAAAAGGATTTCTATCGGCTTAGATGTCAATTCACAAATATTTGTGTCAATTTGTGTCAGATTTTATGGTTTCTACATCAAGCCCCTATCACAGTCTGTCCCAGTTTTCTTTTAGGAAGGGTTTGGGCTGTTGATACCACGGCTACTGCAGCTCGGCGAGCACGTAACGCTTTGCTTGGTGGGCACAGGGGTGGCCATTCCAAAATATAATCCCTTACTTCCAGCTTTTGCTAGCAAAATGTAAAAGATTTCCAGGAGGAAGCTGTTGCTCCTGGTTTCGGTGCCTCCCCACCTCTCCTGCGCGGGATCATCGGTGGCACCGCAGCTCCCGTAACTGCTGCGGGCTTCCTGGCCCTATTGTTCCCAAATAAAACTGCTGAGGTTCTGCCTGGCAGAGGGAACCCTGAGTGCTTTTACTACGCAAATAAACCAATTTTACAGTTTCATGCCCAAACTATCAAGTGGCTATTAGCATCTTCACCGAGCCTCAGCTCCTACGAGCCAGGGCTGCATATGTCCAATGCTGCATCTTTATGGGGATGATTAGACTTTAATGAGGTCTAGTGAGTCAGCCAAGCCTTTATGCTCGTAATCCCCCATTTCAATAGCCACAGCAGCTCCTGGATGCATTAATACCGCTGGTTCTCCTGCCACGCTCCTCTCCGTGCATAAAAGCACCGCTCTTGCTATTGTCATCGCCACCGGTGCCAGGCCAGCGTCACGCCAGGCACGAGGACACAGCCAGGGAGACGTCCCCAGGATCAGATGTGGGAGAAGCAGCGGGGTCAGGGCAGCGCAGGGGTCCTGGTCCCACTCCAGCCGATGGTCCCTGCGCCTTTCGAGCCCTCTTGAAGTCTCTTCGCCGCGGCTCGGGGTCATTTTTGCAGTGCCAGAGCTCAGGAGCAGCATCTCATTCCCCGGGCGGCGCGGCCAAGTGGTTCGAGGAGCTTAATTCCTGGGCATAAATCCTGGTCGCGCTATTGGCTTTTCTGATAAACTTAACCAAGTTATTCCAGGCCTTTGTCTAGTCTGCCTTATCTCGCTCTCTATAAAGATAATATTCATTTGCCTTCTGGGGATGGAGAAAGACTGCACGATCATCAAGCACTTTGGAAATCCTC